GAGCTCTATCGGATCAGTAATCAATGGCGTCAATATAAATACTGGGATGTAGTTCTGCTATAAATGATGTTTTCCCTTGCGAGTGGCAGCGTGACTGATGCCTTCTGTCGTCGGTGAAATGTCTAAAAGGATGCTTTGAGATCACCAAACATTACACAAAGACGCCCAGGCACGGGATAAAACTTGATGCAATCGAAAGGATCGCGATTTAGCGCTGTTGAATGTCCGCTCAACTCTTTATCCCCGGTGGCGATTCAGACCGTCTAGGCGGGCTCATTTCCCGATATCAGGTCGACTGAATTGTGTCTGCGGACAATGGTGCAGGTGGGCGGACCATCGCCGAACCAAACGTGGTTTCCCCTGTCTGGAGGGACACAGCTGATCCAATCTCACCGGGGTCAGCTCGCTGGCGGTCTGCTGACAAGACTATGCTTCGTTCTCACAGTTTTCAAGGTGATTGTGCAAAATGTAGTGAATTTCCGTGTATGCCGAAAAAGAGCCGAACAGATTTCAGTCAAGAAATGCGCTATTCCGGACCCATCAATGGCGTGACATATCGTCCAGAACTGAATGTATACTGTATAGTGGAGGTTCCCCGTATCACAAGAACATTTATTTCCGCCCAGTTCTGTGTCTGAGGTCTGCATATGTGACTTACTGTCCTGGGACGACCAGCAACAATCATAAGTCGGTATAACTAGTCGGTAAACGACAGGACTGACAAACGATTGGCAAGAAACTGCTCGGGAAATGAGCATATGAGGAAATACGCAGGACGATAATAGGACAAGGGGTTATAGACATAGCCGAAAAGGAGCGCTACGTTTGCCTGACTTGTTTTAAAAAAAAAGAGGGAATGGCACAAACTGAGAAGCGAAAGATAAATGTGGGTGCTTTGATCGTTTTGCTGTAAATCCGTTGAGTGCTCTTCGTAATAATCATCAGAGGGGGGGGGAGGAGGAGGCTAAAATAAAAACCACAACCACAGCTCGCATTGACTTCCGTCTAATTACATACATCACACTGCCCTCTCAGCCTAACACGCCAGGAAGTGGAAGTGTCGCAATGTTGGCGTGGGGTCGACAAGGTAACGACGAGTGAGACTTCACACTCCAGCGAGAACGAATAGAGTGATTTACATCTCAAAGAAGACATACATCTTTTTGGCTACTGTCTCGTGCTGAAGGAAAGGATTCTGATAGAATATGTTGTGTAAACAAGTGAGAGAAACAGCCATCTGCTAGCAGAGTAACAAAAAAGAAGAATCTCAAAACATTTAGCGCATTAGTTAGAACGAGACACCATGCCAGACGTTATCGAACGCAACATCGTTATATAAATTTGTATTGACTACTTTCGGCTGAAAGCACAAACATCTCTATGCTGCAAAAGTCTGTGGTGGAAGCAATAATATCGTTTGTAAATGTTGATAGCGGCACTCGCCCTAATGCAGTTACTAAAGAACGATCTGCAGGCACACTCTAACCCAATCACGTGATATGCGAAACGCTCGAGTTCACCTCGTAACTTTACAGCGGGCAAAGTTAGGTCACTCGATTCGATAACGAGACAATTTTGCCTCCCTGTGGAGAACTGCGGCCCGTAATTCGAGATGCGCATGCCAAGCGGTATTAGATTTATGCAAACATATTTCGATTAGGCGCTATCATACAGCCAGTAACATGTTTGATATTCCAGTTACGATCAGTGTAACATGAGTGCCCAAATAAATGATCGCTTTTGTCCATTCCTCAAAGGGCACTAAGCAATAGAAAATATTATTTCAAACGCTTACCAATCACTTGTCAATTTTCGAATGAAAATATACGGCACCATGCTAACGAATATGGGTATCAGTTGATAAAAATTTAGTCTAAACAGACCAAGTATTTGATATTCCGCTTGAAATCAGCTCTTTCCTCTAATCAATCACTTTTTGCACAAACAGCGTGACCGAACATCCTAAAAATCCTATCAATAATGACAGATTCTTGAAATTTAAACTAAATATACATATCCATGCTTTTTCATGAATTTTCAACAGCAAAAACCTACGACATGCCACACATTGTTGCATGTCATCCTGCAATATTTTATATTTCCTAAATCAAGCTGCTCAGTCATCATCACACCGTCCGACCAATCTCGATTATGTACTCACCACATCAATCAGCTGGGAGAGCTTCAGCTTGATCTGCACCTTGAGCGGATCGGTGACGTTCACGACGGGTCGCACCAACTTGTTGTAGTTGGAGAGCAGGTCGTCATAGAGCCTCTTGGCGTCTGGGTTTCCGGCACAGCCTGCCCGGACCAGAGAGTAGACAGTCAGCACGCGCAGAAGTGAGCACGCTCGGCTCTCGGGAGGTCGCATCGCACCGCTGCCGTCCGCCCCGGCAGCGACTCGGCGGCGCACTGACCACACTGGAGCTCCAAGCCCGACAGTGGCGGCGGCGGCGGCGGCGGCGGCGGTGGCCGGTAAATACAGGCGTGTGTGTTATGAATTCGGATCCGGCTCACTCCAGGTGGTTGCCGCAGACATGAGCCAAGAAAAATGGATGATTGGAGAAATACGTGTATGCGTGCAGCTAGAACGGATATTAGCTTGGTCTGCATCAGTGTGATGCTTATTACCACAGGAACATACGGAACTGATGCAAAATCCATACTCTGTGCGTAATTTCCTTACCATAGTGCGTGGTTCAGAGCTGAATACAAGGAAGTTCGGTATCAGTCGTTTCAGGGTTTATGACCCTGCGGAATGATATCTTCGACATTAGTTTGACCTGTAAACCATGATTACAGGTCTTATCATTATTGATGAGAATATAGTGTAAAGGGGATATGCAACTTATACTGATCTCAGGCAGCTTTTGCCAAATTGTCAGGGAACTCAGATTTGTTTTTCAATAGAAAAACACAATTCTAACGAATAGTGTTTTAACTATTGACAACAAACCTTCGGTTATCTGAGGTAATTATACATAAAGCGCCGTTGAGAACTCAACCAGTTCAACATTCGTGGACAGACGCGGCGCAGTGGAGGTAGTTTTTGGTTATTCGAAGTGAGACCTGCACGAGAAAAAATATTAAGTGAAAATTTCGGAAACAGTAAAAAGAAGAAGGGAGTTGGATTTTTTGGTGATATTGAGAACGGAATGTAACTGCCTGATTTGTTTTAGCCCGCCTGCCAATACTATCTTTATTTTTTGCCATGTGTTTGATTTGAAAGACGCCGGACTGAACATAAAGTGGTCCTCCGGGCCGGATCAATAAAGTAAAGTAAAACAATGGCAACTAAAGTAAAGCGACAACTCAAAGCTAAGGCCTGCAAACTAAGTAGATCGCTAACTAGGTTAGAGACACTGAACGCCCGAAACGAAGATGAAGACGGTCTGCGCGATGCACTGGCAGTCGTCTTGGAGCAGTCGAAGTCGATGGACGATTTGCAGGAAGAGCTGTTCGGTCTGATCCCGGAAGAAGACATAGAGACGGAATTAGATACATGGAATGAGTTAGAAGAGCGGAAAGTGCAGCTGATATGTGAGACGAGAAAGATGATAAAAAGGAACAGCAGTCAAACTACCGTCGTTGACGCTACCAAGACCGCCCATCTTGAGCCCATAAAAATACCGAAGTTCTCTGGACAGGCGGCTCAGTATGAACAGTTCAGGGCGGCATTTAAGGTGTTTGTCGACGAAAACGGTCACATTTCCATGATGGAGAAAATGATCCGTTTGAAGGGATACCTCGAGGGAGAGGCACTTCAAGCCATTGAAGGTCTTACCTTTTCAGAGAGCGACTATCGTGCTGCTCTGAAGATTTTGGACAAAAGGTTCGGCGGGCAGAATCGACAGCTGAAGGAGCGTCTGCAAACACTGCGTTGTCAGGAGTCCATCATCCCAGGAGACTGCAATGCTCTGCGGAGATTCGCCGATCTGCTGACTGCAACAGTTTTGAGCCTGAAGAACATGGGCGATGAACATGACATTTTCTCTGAAACACTCTTCGAGAATGTGTTCAGAAAGCTGCCCGAAAATGACAGAGAAAGTTTCATCAGTGAGTCAATCAAGAGCGGAAGCGCAATGGACCTGGTTAGACTCGAACCATGGCTCCAGGCGAGAGCTGAGATAGCGAGACTGAACGCCGATTTTTGTGTTACGAGCCCGCCAAGCTTTGAAGTACCCACCGGCGCGTCCGAGTCCAGAAAAGCAAGCGGATCATGCGGGCACAGAGCCAGCAAGAAGCCGGTTACCAGCCTCAGGAGAAACACGGAAGGAAAATGCGAGCTCTGCTCGCAGGCGGATCATGTGCTCGACAGGTGCTCTCGGTTCAAAGGCATGTCTATCGATGAACGCTGGGAGGTGGTTAAGAAACAGCGCCGCTGTTTTGGCTGCCTCGACAAAAACCATCACACTGCTGAGTGTAACAAAGCCACACGTTGTCAGTGTGGTCGGTTCCACCACCGCCTGCTCTGCGCTCGGTCAGACACTGCAGCTGCAGGGAGACAGGGAGCGGAGGAACCAACAAGAGTGACGACATCAGGATCAGCTGCTAACAGCTTCAGAGTGGCTCTGAGAACACTGCCAGTCATCATCAGTCACGGTGGTCGGCAGATGCATGTGACTGCTTTTCTAGATGGAGGTTCAGATACAAGTTATCTGAAACAAGACTTGGCTGAAGCCCTGGGGGTCACATCCGATCCCGAACCTCTGCAAATAGCGACGCTGGGGGGTCATGTTCAGTCACTGAAAACGAAGCACGCCGACATCATGGTCAAGGACACAGGAGAAGGTCCGCTGCACAGGCTGCATGTGTGCACGCTGCCAGAAGTATGCAAACAGCTCGAAGTTGTCAACTGGACAGCAGAGAAAGAGCAGTGGGACCACTTGCGGGACATACCCTTCGAAGAAACTGGCACTGAAGCTGATCTGCTGATTGGAAGTGACCATCCGCAACTCCATGCAGTCCTTGAGAGTAGAAGTGGAGACGAGGGTTGCCCTATGGCAGAGCGAACGCCTCTGGGATGGACCTGTGTCGGCCCCATGCGAGAAAAAGGTCAAGTATCCAGTCAGATACGGACAGGAGCTCACGCCGTCACAGTCTCTGAGGAGGCTGGACTGGACAGAATTCTTCGACAGTTCTGGGAGATAGACAGTTTTCAGCCAATGTCAGATCGCAAGAGCCCTCTCACAACTGACGAAAAAAGTGCGGTGGCGCACGCTGAAGAAACGATGGAGATGCAAGACGGACGGTACGAAGTTGGCGTGCCCTGGAAAGGTCACACACCTGCTCTCAATCAGAGAAGTAACAACAAGGGCGTGGCGCTGGCGAGGCTGCGAAGTTTGGAGGCCAGTCTGCTGAAGAAGCCAGACTTGAAGGACAAGTATGAGGAAGTGATCGCATCGAATCTAGAAAAGGGATACGTCCGCAAGCTGGAGGAATCTGACGTTGCCATACAAAACGAGGCCTGCTGGTACCTGCCGCATTTCCCAGTCGTAAGAGAAGACAAGCAAACCACAAAAGTGAGATTTGTGATGGATGCCGCGTTCCAGGTTGGAGGACGCAGTCTGAACTCAGAAATGCTGCCCGGACCAAAACTGCAAAATGACATCGTGGACCTGCTACTCAGGTTCAGACGAAGACCAGTTGCTCTGGTAGGAGACATCAAGGAGATGTTTAGCCAGATCTGGTTGAAGGAGAGTGACAGATGCTTCCACCGATTCCTGTGGAGGAACATGGAGTGTGAACGAGAGCCTGACGTATATGAGTCTACTAGGATCATATTCGGTGGACGTGCTTCTCCCTTTCTGGCTCAGAAGGTTCTGCTGCACCATGCCGAGAAAGAAAAAGAAGACTTTCCGCTGGCTGCCAACATCATCAAGGAAGAAACCTATGTGGACGACGTGATGACCTGTCTGGAGACAGAAGAGGAGGCCAGGCAGGCAAGAGAGGAGCTCACCCAGCTGCTATCGAAGGGAGGATTCTCGATACGAAGATGGTGCTCCAATCGCTCAGCTCCTCTTGATGGAGTCCCAGATGAGGACAAGGTCACCATCAATCCAGACAGCTCCGGGCTGCCAACGACAAAAATCCTGGGAATTCAGTGGAACGCAGAGGCTGATCAATTTGTGTACGACGTCATCACCCCGGAGAAGATTGTGTACACAAAGAGAGGGGTGCTGTCGAAGGTGTGCACCATCTTTGATCCCATTGGCTTCTTAGTCCCATTCACGATCAGAGCGAAGATTGGAATACAGCGCTGCTGGCAAGAAGGCATCGGATGGGACGAAGCAATGCCAGCTGATCTGCTAAAATCCTGGCGTGGCTGGTTCCAGGAAGTGGAGGAGCTGCACCAGATCAGCATCCCACGCTGCTTACGCCCGGATCGTCAAGACATATGTGATGTATCTCTGCATACATTTACTGATGCATCAGAAAAAGCATTTGGAGCAGTGACGTACATCAGGTACGTCTTCAGCGACGGAAGTGTGACAGTCACGTTCGTAGCTGCTAAGACAAGAGTAGCGCCACTGAGTGCTACCAGCATCCCTCGTCTGGAGCTCATGGGTGCGCAGGTGGGTGTACAGCTGAGCCAAAAGGTCGCCATCTCGCTTCAAATCCCAGTCGAGAACCACCACTTCTGGACTGACAGCATGAATGTCCTGGCATGGATAAAATCTGAGTCACGACAGTTCAAGCCATTCGTCGCCAATCGAATCGCCAGCATTCAGCAAGAAACCTGTCCAGGTCAGTGGCGTCACGTTCCAGGGGGCCAAAATCCTGCTGATGATGCTTCTCGTGGGCTGAGTGCGAATCAGCTCACCTCAGACTGCCGCTGGATTGCTGGACCGGAGTTCCTGCGAGGTGACCCAGCAAGCTGGCCTGAACGACGCCTGGTGGCGTCAACTCCAGAAGCTGACAAAGAACGAAGGAAGGTGAAGCTTTCCTTCCCCGCTCAGCAGCAGCAGACTGTCCTGAATGAGACCAAGTTCTCTTCTCTGAAGCGCCTTCTGAGGATTACAGCTTGGGTTATCCGTTTCAGCAGCAACTGTCGAGCGGATCATGAGCACAAAAGGAGTGGCACGCTGACAGCCGAAGAGCTGCAAGTGGCAGAAAACTACTGGATAAAGGTAACCCAGCAGCGGACTTTTCAAAAGGAACTGACTGACCTACAGAGCCATGGAGTTGTTGACCGGTCCAGTAGCATCGCCAGCCTCACGCCGCAGGTCTCTGAGACCGGTATGCTCAGAGTGACGGGTCGTCTGCACAATGCAGATGTAACAGATGATGTGAAACATCCACTCATCCTGCCTCAGAAGAGCCACTTCACTCGACTGGTGATACAAGACGCACATGAACGGCTCAAACATGCTGGTGTGAATCACGTGCTCGCAGAGACGAGGCAGCGATTCTGGATCGTGAACGGACGGCAAGCGGTGAAATCATGGGACTTCCGCTGCAGCTACTGCCGAAGAAGACGAGCTTCACCGGGAGAGCAGATCATGGCCCCACTCCCAGAATGTCGTCTGGGAAATGAAATGCGCGCCTTTGCCTGCTGTGGGGTCGATTTCGCTGGTCCGTACTTCACTAAGGTGACGTCCAGAACTACAGCCAAGCGATACTTGTGTCTGTTCACGTGTATGGCAACACGTGCAGTTCACCTGGAGATGGCGGTTGATTTGACCGCCGACGCATTTCTTCTCGCCTTCTCTCGCATGGTAGCAAGGAGAGGAAAGCCAAAGATGATCACAAGTGACAATGGACGGAACTTCCTGGGAGCCAAAATGGAGCTTAGTCGGATCGAACAAGCGGCTCCTGAAATCTCACGCAAGCTGGGTCAAGAAGGCGTGAGCTGGAAGCTGAACCCTCCATCAGCTCCTCACCATGGGGGAGTGTTCGAATCCATGATCAAGTCCGCCAAGCGAGCGCTGAATGTCGTGCTAACCAGAGCATCAGTGACAGATGATGAACTGTGCACAGCCTTTGCGGAAGTGGAAGCTGTCTTAAACTCAAGACCGCTGACATACTGCGGCGCAGACGCAAGAGACGAGCCATGTCTGACACCAAACCACTTCCTGATAGGACAGATGGGTGACAGCCTGATGACGGCCGAGATGACTGCACAATCGGTAGGTGGGCTTCGCCGACGCTGGCGGCACATTCAGGAACTCGTCTCCAAGATATGGAAGCGCTTTCAGAGAGAGCTGCTGCCGACTCTGTCACAACGGCACAAGTGGCAAGAAGTGAAGAAAGACGTGGACGTGGGAGACGTCATGCTGCTCCTCGATCCCAACACACCGCGAGGACAATGGCCTCTCGTGGTCGTAGAGGCTGTTCACGCTGGGCAAGACGGCCATGTGCGGGTCGTAGACGTTCGACGAAACCGCCAAGTCCTCCGCCGACCGATCACCAAACTGTGCCCCTTGGACTGCAGTGGTAGTGGAGGACCCTAGATCCTCCACAGGGGGGAGAAATGGACAGACGCGGCGCAGTGGAGGTAGTTTTTGGTTATTCGAAGTGAGACCTGCACGAGAAAAAATATTAAGTGAAAATTTCGGAAACAGTAAAAAGAAGAAGGGAGTTGGATTTTTTGGTGATATTGAGAACGGAATGTAACTGCCTGATTTGTTTTAGCCCGCCTGCCAATACTATCTTTATTTTTTGCCATGTGTTTGATTTGAAAGACGCCGGACTGAACAATTCGTACCGCTCTAGTAGCGAATCAGTCAGGGAAAGTCGGCAATATTATGATATGCACTCGCTGTTTTTTGTCAATTGTCTTCTTCAAACGCATACAATTTATTAAGATGAAATATTTGCAGTCGACTGATGTGCTTATGTTAAGTATAAAGTCATTTATTTACAGCTTTCAAGCCAAACAGCATTTAACGGAATCCTAGATAGTAAATAATATCCTGAGGCCAAGTAATAAAAAAATGTTTTTTTTTCTTCTGGAAGCAGCTTACTCAGACCATGCTTGTTTGTTGTCAATGTTAATGCAATGTATGCGTACTCCGTAGCTTATTGCTTGCATTCGCATAACAATTCATAAAATCTTACCGAGCTACACAACTTTATCCCGACCGAACTTGGTTGAAATGTAAGTTAACGCCAACTTGTGACGCCAACTATAACGCCAACTTGTGAAAAACAAGTCGGACTTGATAATTACCCAGTCAGAAACATTCAACTCGTTTTTTACATAATATATATTTGGTAATATATATTTCAACGTTATTAGAAGATTACGCTTTTTATGTGCATTTTACATCTAACAAAACATGTAAGAATTATAGTCATTGATATCAGGCAGGCATGCTTAAACTGTTTGAAGAATGGAAGAAAATTTTTCATCCGCCTTAGAAGATTAGCTCAACTGGCTGGTCCGATGATGTGCATCTGCTGAGTCGGGTAGCTTATATAGTTACTGACAGAAGCTCAACTTTACGCTCTCGGTATCTGTCTTTCTCTCCGTCTCCGTCTCTGTCTCTGTCTTCATCTTTGTCTCTTTGTCCCCGTCCCTGTCTCTGTCTCTCTGTCTCTGCACCCGTCTACGTCTCCTTTTTCTCCGTAATCCTCATCTCCCTCTCCTCTACGCCTCCCTCCACGCCATCCCTCCCCGTCTCCGTCTCCTTCTCCCTCTCCTTCTCTGACTCCCTTTGCGTCTCTGTCGTCGCATCAGGTGCCCGAGCAGACCGGTTCCAGAGAATCGATACTATCGCCCACCTGTACGCACCGCCGCGCCGCCGGCGCCGTCCCGGCAGTGTCCCCCCCCCCATCCCCGGCCCCTCCAGCGAGTTTCCTTCAGTCACCTGTCGATTCCCACAAAGCATGAGACGTCGACCTCACGACGCGCAGGTCGTTGAACCAGGAATAAAACGGGGTCGCGACCTGACGCTGCCCAACATCATCGCGTGCTGCAACCAATAATGATTTTGCAGCTTCGAACAGTTTTTTCTTCTTCTTTGGGAAGCAATCGCATTATGAGTGAATGACTGCCTGCGTTGAAAACGTCAACTCAATAATACAAACATAGAAGAGACTATTGGAAATCCTGTTTCCAGGGGGAGACATGGAAATGCTGTTCGCTATGCAGAATGGATAATTGGGCTTGGGCAACACCCTTGATATTCAGCAATAACAGTTGTCTCCTGACACCACCCTAGGATAGACTGTCCGCACCGAAACAGTCTAACTCAATTATATGTCAAAAAATAATAAATTTGTTTATAAGCAGCAAATACCCCAAGAATGTGCATATGTACTGCATAGCTTAATCAACTGAGAGGTGTTTTCCTACTGCCACCTTTTATGCTATCCTCCGTAATCGGAATGTCATTGGCAGCGAGCATCTGTCGCCGTGTTTGGGGCTGGCACTGGTCACTGTTGGAGTCTGGCCAGCTCCGATCGGGGATATTGTCACACCCGAACACCAACACATGGCCTCGGCTAGCTGGGCGCTGATCATCTCCATTGGCCTATCGTGAAGTGGACAAAGTATTGATGGGCGATTCGAATAGGATTTAAACGTTATCAACGGCATCATTCGCGCCGGGGTTCCTTGAAGAACCAATCAAACCAAGCATTACACTTGCCATGCATAAAGAACCAGTGAATCTCTGCGAGCATTACACCCTCTTAGCCACAGTCACGCACATTAGAGGCAACCGCTACTCCCCTAAACGCGTCAATCACTGTCCACGCCTGGCCGCCAGCTCCGCGCCTCCCTCCAATCTGGCGGTGCTTCCTCCCCACCCCACCCAGCGACCCCGCAGGTCACCCCGACGCCCTGCGGCGATACGCGGCCGACACCTTGACCCGCCCTTCGGCGTCCCACTCTAATGAAGCGGAACGGGCCAAACGACGCTATCCCAGCGCTGGTGATACATGCCGAACAATGGCCCGAACACAGATAGCGCTCGGGGTAAGCTGGCCCAGGAGGCGGTGGTGTTAGCGTTACAGAGAACGCTAATTATGCGGAATTTAAGCCTAGATAGCTTGGTTTATCGGTGCATATTCTGAAAGAGAAATGACAGGACTGAAGCAAATGGCAAGTCTTATCGAGTGGCTAGTTCAATAGGATAAACGGAGCTGGCAGCTAACTAAAGAGATACAAATTATCGGCATGTAATCTTCGTAAAATTAGAATCCTAAGCAGACCAGGCTTCACGATTTTTTCTTGCGCAGAGATGTACGTACATTAAAATAACGAGAGGAAAATATTTGTAGACGTCAACATTGCTCTATCGAATGATAGGCACTATACTCAATATCATACGCAGCAGTGTTCAGCCAGCGCGCTTTAACGAAGATGCGTAATTATGTCCCAGTGCCAGGTTGTCAACTATTTTGGGCATCATCAACTGGATCAACGGCCTCAATTGGCAATAATATACACGACAAAAGCCACAATGTAGAGAAAGAAGTCGGTAAGAAAGATGAGAACTAACTATTCAGGGCAGCTGTATGTCGCAAGAAGCCTTCGTAGGATTGCGCATGACCATGCATGCTAACAGGACATCGTTAGTGTTTTAGAATGTAGTGCACACTGCACATATCTGGGAGAAACACCCGTAAAGCAGATGGCACCAATATTATCATTCACAATGTTTCAGGGCCGTATTAACTCAGTCTCGGCGCACGTCCCCAGCTGACGGATCGGCGGCGCTGCGCGACATCGGCATTGCGGTACAGCATACCTCTGCAGGCGCTTAGTCGATACTGCCATCTATCGGTTGGCTTACAAACTGTCCAGTGAGTCCTGCGGTACAGTATACCAGCGCAGGCAGAGTTACCAGAGACAAATATGGGCGAAATATGAAATAAAGATCAAGCTGCAGGGTTCTTCGTAACAAAGCCTAGGCAATGACATCCATGTCGAGTTTCTCTGTCATTGTCTGTCTATCTAGCGATTATTCTGTCGTCCTACGCCCTCAGGCAAGGCTTCCTGCATAGCGAGTCGGAGCTCACTGAGCCCTCTGTCGACGGTTGTTCGAACTGTAGCTTGGGAACTCCGTCCAGATGACGCTAGCCGCAGCTCAAGGTTCGTACTTACATTGGGCGGATGGGACTGCTGCTGTCGGGATGCTGCCAACATTTATAAGAAGCACTAAGCAGTAAGCAGTAACCACCCGATTGCGACTGTAATCAGCATTTTAATGCAGCTGTCGATTAGCCCGCGCATGACGGGGGGCTCTACAGAGCCCCCTCCCTTTTTTCGGCAATATCATCTACACCGTTTCACGGATCATCACGAAACTTTCAGTACCCTCAGCGGCATCAATTTCACACCTTGTGTTAAAATTTCAACTTTCTAGCTACCATAGTTTGGCCGGAAATGACGTCCGAGTGACGTCATGTCGGCCGATTTTGATGCAAAATACTGAATTACGGAAAACGCTCTCAAGAGCTTAGTTTTAAACCTTGCTCCAATTTATTTATATCATTAAATTTGGATTTAAAATCATTAAAATTTGGATTACAAATACACGTAGCTATCAAACTGCCATCTCGAATTTTCAAAATTTTGAAAATTTCGAAAGTACCTATTGGTTTCCAATTACAAAAACAAAATATATTTTTTAAATTTTTTGAGAAAGTTTTTAATTTTTCGCAAAAACCGGAATATACGTGATAGAACACACACTGATAAACTACTCTAGCACTTTTTAGCCCAATACCTATCTTCAAAAATAGCCAAGTTATTTGCATTATTGTCAAAATTTTACCATTATATATTTTTTCAAAACCATTTTTCAGTACGTTTTTGACATCTTACAGCAATATAAATGGCACCATCGTGTTCCTGAGCTGAAACTGCATCTGATGGACACCTTTTTTGTTAAAAATTTCATTTTCAAAATTTGACCTTTACTGACAAAATTGACCTGACCTCCGGTAAATTCAGCCGAAAATGACCTCAAATGACCCAGACGACATTATTTTCGAAATCTACGTACGTGTAAAATTGAACATAAAACATGCGTCACGTGACCGATACATGATATACAATTTTCGTGACCTAGGATGACCTGGCCTTGACCTGAAAAAAAATTAAAGTAAGAGTTCGGTACCCTCATAGTATCTAAAACATATAGCAAGGAGTGCGTAAACAAACATGAGCCTGATCGGACTTGTCAGTCGGCGGCCAGAGCCTAAATTCTAAGCAAACAAAAATGCCGAAAATTTTTACTTTGACCTGACCTGTGACGTCATCAGTGACCTCGAGGTCAATGGGGCTCTGGAGAGGCCCCCCCCCCCTCAGTCACTCGCGTTATGGAAAATACCCCAGTCATGCGCGGGTTAACGCGACAGAACAAAACACAATCAGCTAATAATTGCAGTAGGCAGGACGTTATCATGACTTTCAG